TCAACGGTCAACGCCGGAAGTCAACGGATTTTCGCCGAAAGTCAACGCCGGAGTCAACGGTCAACGCCGGAAGTCAACAGTCAACACCGAAGTCAACGGGTCAAAATAATATTTAAATAATTAAAATAATACTACCTCCTGTTCATTATAAATGTCGTTTTGACTTTTGTGATTCATCCATTTTATTATGTATCTAGACATTAATATGTCTAGATACATAACAAAATGGATGAATCAAAAAAGTCAAAACGACATTTATAATGAATAGGAGGGAGTAGTAAAAAAGAGTAAATCATTGTCACACATATCATGTACCAATCTTGTGGCTAAGAATGTGTCTCACGTCCGTATTTTAAAAAACTATCTGCATTTGAACCATTCCTTTTATATATATATATATATATATATATATAAAATTCGAGGGTATTAATTTAATGCAATTTTTCGTCCATTTATTTCTCTTAATTGTGAAACTGACTTTTACATTTAATATCTTATCAATTAATTAATTGGTCACCAGTCAAGAGCTGTTATATTAAACGAATCGCTCGTAGTTCGACTCGTTAAGGCTGGAGCTCGCTCAGCTCGTATGATAAACGAGATGAGCTCGAGTTCGTTTGGTTAAAAAAAAGATTATTTTATATAATTTTGTATAGTTCGGCTCGTTAAAACTCGATTCCAGATCATTAAAGCTGGTCGAGCTTGAGATTGATTATGAGCTCGTTAAGCTAAAAGCCGTGTCAAGCTCGAATCGTTAAGGGCTCGAGATTGAGCTCGTTCGGATAGTTTATTCCCCTAGTCAAAACCTCTTAAATTTATAAAGTTACATTGTTCATCATATTTTATGCCATTTATATAGTTATTCATATAAGCAAAACAATTTATGATTATACTGTTCATGTTTACTAATAAGTAAATTTATTGATGTTATATCCAATTATATAACTTATGATTTTAAATATAATATACATGATGTAGAACTCAAAATAAGCTCGGTAGGCCAGTCTGAGCAGGTAGCTCGATTAGGTTGGTCTAAGAGAGCTCTAGTGTGTTCAGAGATAACCTATCCAATCAAGTAGCTCGTATGCAGGCTTAAGTTAGTGATTGACATGAAGAAAACGACCTGTGGGTGCCTACTTCCAGGAACCTGGCTATACAACCGACCTCGAGATATCGAGGTCGTACGACTTAAAGTCAGGTTCGACCTCAGGTAAGCCACAACAAGTAGGTCAAGAGGTTGAGGTTATGGTCTAGGGACCTAAGGGTCGTACAATTAGGGGAATAAAATCTTAGTAAGAAAGAAATAATCGCCTTCTCAAGGATACCTACCCAAAAAGAGACGTGATAAGTTATAGGAAGAGTGATCTAGTTAGATCTCTTTCCTATTAAAGGACTTTTTAGGGCAATAAGATAATTATCCTATATATGAGTGCCAAGTTCTTCTTATCGCATTCTATTTAATTGTATATTCTCGTACACAGTTGTGTGAACGAGTTCTGACTTGAGCATCGAAGGTTTTTCTGTCGGATTCCCTCCCGACGTATTGCAGGTCACTAGAGCTCAAAGACGAAGGAAGTTCGAGGTGTAGGCGATTCAGCTTCAACCCAACTTATAACAAAAGTGATGCAACAGTACATACATATGACTAATAATATTTTTTTTTAGATTAGCACATAATCGACTACTAGTAATAATAATATTTATATAACATTCATAAAATAATTTGATGTAAATATATAGCCCATACTCTTGGACTGGACACATTGTGGGTAATCCGTTGGATCAACCTGCTTGGTATCCTATGGTGCAAAATGATGCAGGGTGCTGTATAAGTATATACAGAAAGCACAACTTATCCGAGCTCCGAAGTGAGAAGGTGAACGCCTGAACGGTGAACCAAACTGAAAGAAGAAATAAAAAGCAAAAAAGGGGAAAATAAAATTAGCAAATCTGAAAATGGCAATGACAGCTCGTTTAAGATCTGGCCTTCCTCTCCTCCGCCGGGCCCTCAACGCCGGCAACCTCTTCGCTGCCGAGAGATCCGTAGCTTCAGTGGCCGCCGTCTGCCCGATTGTCTCCAAGCCGGAGGTAAGTAAGAATCGTAGATTAATATGTTTCGTCTTATTTACTCTGAAAATGATTGATTCTGATTTTGTTCTGTGAGAGAACCATTGGGGTTTGACCTTAGGCTGTACGGCGTAGGAAAGAGCTTGTATTCACTAGTAACCGTCCTTCGCGTCTTCATGAAGATTGTTTTTGCATTTGAATTGGCTTCTTAATGGCTTTATCCCCCTATTTTTTGTGGGTATGTTAGCATGTGTTATTGTTTCTACCGGATTGCTAGAGGTTATTCTTTAGGTTTCTCTCTCACAAGAAACTGGCACGAAGCTGATTCGTTTTGCCCTTTCGAAGTTCGGTTCCTCTGATTGGTTGTAACTGTAAAATCTATTCAAGCAAAGTAGTTGGATTTATACAGAGGCTCGTGCATTGTAGCCTGTATGTATCAGGTGCATGTGAATTAGATTCTTACTTGCTGATTTTGTGCTTTCAGTTCGCAAGGAGTTACGCGAGTAGTCCTCCTGCAAATCAGCAGAAAGTCAAGGTAAGATTGATTTGTTTATATTTTGTTTGGAGGTGTTAAATTACAAGTTACATGTTCATTGTTACATGCTGAAGAGACATACTTGCTGCTTGCTAGTAGTTATGGATCTTGGGATATCAATGTCTCAACCAGGAGAGTCCACTACTGTATCTGCATTACCTGGGTGGATAGTGATATAGTTATTGTCATTTTTGGTCACACTATCTCGGAAACTGTTCAAAATTGTCCTCTTGCCATCATCGTTGTCGTCTTTTTTAGCAAATCTTTTCTCTCTACATATTTGGCATTGTAGTTGGTAGGATATGCATGCACAGAGAATTTGATGCATTGAATGTGGATGATATTTGATTGAACACTCTTTTAATTAAATAAGTTATTATCATCGTTGTCTTGTTATCTGTAATCATACGTGTATTTTTTTTCTAATTATTTCTGTACGTGTTGACTTTAACTTATTTGTTTGTAAAAGCTAATTTTAAACTTTTATTTGTCTTCTTCACCTTTTAATTCTTCCTAATGATAATAGATGCTTAGCCCCAAACTTTTGGAATTTAGATTTAATATTCTAATCTGGAGACTCAACTTCACTTATTTGCTACTTCCCCATGCAATAGGCATTACATACGATGGCTGTTTGAACACTGTGATGTAGTCATGTGATTATTGTATTTGCTAATGTGTGATGTTGTCTGTGAAATCCATTTTAAATTTGGAATATTTGTCTTTCTAAGGAAAAGTACTCTGGTGTCGTAAGGGTGCTCTGGTGTCTTGGTGTTCTGATTTAGTTTATTGCATCCTAGGTTCCTTTGAAATTGTACGGCGTTTCTGGGAACTATGCCACAGCTTTGTACATTGCAGCAGTTAAAGCCAATGTGCTTGATAAGGTTGAGTCCGAGCTGCATACGTTAATCCAGGCGTCCAAGAAAAGCCCAACCTTTTCTCAATTCATGAAGGATTTATCAGTTACTGCAGATACAAGGGTGAAAGCTATAAAGGACATTTGCGCTGAAACTAAATTTTCGGAAATCACAAAGAACTTCTTGGGTTAGTTTTTTCTAACATGTGAAAGTTTCTCTTTGCTTTGGACAATGACTTGTGATGTTTGCCTTGCCCTGACTTGTGATTTTGTTAGATCGTTGCATGTTGCGGTGCACCTGATCTAGACATATCGGTTGGTCTGTATATTATGGATTTCCAAAATCATCTATAAATAACCAAACACATTTTGGCTGCTAGAGAATTTTTTGGTCATTGGTGGAGTCTGTTTATTCTACTATGCTGGTGGGATATATGAAGTTTATTGATTGTAGGCAATGAGCACTCTTGCTCAAAGTAACGCATGATAGTGGTTCATTGTTTTCTTCCCTGTCCTTTTTTTCCCCCCCTTCCGTTTATGGGGTTTGAGGATGGGTGGGTTTCTTTCATGAAAGTCGTCTGTAAGATAACTGTAGACTTCTCGTACGTCTGCAATGGCTAAAGAAGCCTGGGATTTCCTGACCAGTTACATAAGGAAACTGCTTTCAGCTTTATCCAACCTGTGAGTTCTTCCTTATGAAGTAATGCAGTATGATGGAGAGCATGCTCATGATCAAGTCACGGAATTAACGTTCATACATTAGTGCATTTTTGAGCCTGCTGCTTGACAGCTATTATTGATTAGGAATTTCATGGGATGCATATATATTGTGACCTCAATCGATAATGAGTATTGATGTATTCTTGTCTGGCTCTTCATCGGCATGTTATTTTCTTGATGTAAATAATGTTATGACAATCTATCTTGCGTGAAATATCCATCAACTTGTTTGTCATCTTTCCAACAGTTGTTGTAGCCGAATCTGGGAGGCTGGGGCACTTAGAACGTATAGAACAGAGATTTTCTGAACTGACTATGGCACATAGAGGAGAAGTTAAAGCTACAGTGACCACTGTGATTGTAAGTTCGATTCTTGAAGCTTAACTCCTTGCACTTTAGATATGGTTTGCACAGAAGATAACTATGAAGAAATATGGACAAATCAAACAATCAATATTTTCCTATTGATGTTCCTTTAACTGTCTTGGGTTTTACATGTTGAACTTGAATTTCCTAGATGAGAATTTTTTGGCTCCTATGGGCCATGGGGGGGTTAATACTTGAGTTACTACATTCTGCATCGTGTCTCTAGGAGTAAAAATAATATAAATGCCATAGACTACACAATTTTTAATTTTTAACTCTATAATAGATAATAATACACAAATTCCATTATTAGTAGTTCTAGTGGCCTTATGTTGAAGCCTATGGGTACAATATCTTCTACCTCTGCATATAAGATAAACTTTATGGTTCCTCCTGCAGGTGTATCACTGAATATTGGTGGAATGACTATACATACAGATTATTTTTACAATATCCGTATATGCTGAAACAACTCATTACTTGTTACCACACTATTGAGTCAGGAGCATTAAAATCACTCATACGCCCCTTTTCTTCACTTCACATATAATGTAGCCTGCCATCAGGTGGTCACCTTCTCTGCTTCTTTCTCTTGAGCATGCTAAAGGGCACGACTGGATACAAAAAACTAAAGAAATCTCTTCTTAGAAAATGTTTGAATATTAAAATTATGGAAGAATAACTATTTTACTCATCCCATTTAGGCATATACACAAATTTTAAAACAAAAACCAATCATTACTATATACTTCTCTATGAGATTCAGTATCCACCATCACAAATATCATTTGTCATTGCTATTTATATATCGCAGCAACTTCTTTTTATTACATTTTCATCTTATATTCATTCAATACTCAAAATAAATTCTTCTTTAGTTATTTTCCCCAGTTTCTCATCACCGTTCTCTACTTCTAAAAGGTACTGCGTCCAGTAACTTCTGAATGATTTATTTTAGACCAAAAAGCTAAAATAATGAAAAATTAAGTTGGCCAAAAAGTGTTATTAGGAGCTAAAATTTGTTTGGGCATGTCGGCTTACGATCCAATAATTCCATTTGTCTGTCTGAAGTAGTACCAAAGTCCAATGGGATGCATATTGTTATTTCGATTTAAATGTGCTTCATGGTGATTACATATCCTGTTCTGTTGAAGGATATACACCCTTTTTTTTTTCTTTTCTTT